AAGAGGGGTCTTTGAAAAAGGCTTTGTTTGTAAAGTAACCACACCAACGACACTCGACGACCGCAATATGCGGCCCATAACAGATCTAAGGAGATATTGGTACTCACTGCTTTTAAGACAGTCCAGTAGCTAAGACACTGAACTTTTACTCGGATCAGCTGCAATTCTAGTCCGATCCTCCGTAAATACAGTTAACAACTATTCCTTGTTGCCTTCGTCTTCTAGTGGTAAGCGCGTTGGCTGCCCTATGGCTCTCTTAAGGCCGCGAAACGTGTGTTCCTAACTAAATTGTTTGCTTTTTTTTTTCTCCTTAGCTGAAGCCTTTGCTATTACTAAACCACCGTGTCAGATTTTGTGGTAAGTTTCCTTGCAAACTGAAAGTTAGTCAGTTCACATTGCATCCTTTCAGTACGTTTCAGTGTAAGATTTTTCGCAACACATCTTAAGCAAAACTACTATAACAAGCTTTGCGTACGAGCATCGCAATGTTCGAGCTTCACCGGCATTCTAATCTGAATTGCCAGAAAAAAAACACCCGACTTTCGTGTGTTGCCGTTTTGTATCGGCAAAGGTGCACCAAAAAAAATTAGGATTAACTTTCACAGGATTCGGTCTTTTGTATTTTTGTTTGTTATTCAAGCAGCAGCACTTTTCTAACTTCGCTAATAATTGCAAGAAAGAGGAATATACTGAGTGGGACCGGTTTCTTGCTTTACTGATGAACTGGTAAAATCCTGCATTAAGTAAGTGATAGACGCGGGAAAGAAAACATTTGCTTACTATGGTAGCCATGAAAAATGGTAAAAAGCAGGGGATGAGTGTTAATCGGAGTCACGTAGCTTAGGATCAAAGGAGCTTCATGCACGACAAGATAGTGGCTTACTGTGTTTTGATATGAGAATGATAACCGTTTGGACAAAATCGAAGTTCAATAACTTTTTTCTGCAGGCACCTAATTGCTAATTGGATTGATACTTCTCGCCTGGCTAGTTTCTGTTAGTTACCACAGCCGCCGTACTGATTCAGTTGTGGCACTGATTTGGAATGTATGCGACTTAGTGAACCAAGGGCTCTTTTTCCAATTCCTTATTATTCCTATTTATACTACGACTCATTAGATTCGTAATTATATTTTGACTACTTAGACTAGTTATTATAAACTGTCACAATCTAATAATTGGCTATCAATCTGGACGGAGTGCTACAATAATCAATAGAAATCATGCATATAGTGGAGTTAGCTAGGACAGAAGCACAGTACTATTCAGCATGCTGCTGCTTTTGATTGATAAGAAAAGCCGGGCGATAATACGGAGCGAACAAAAACACATGCATGCTCCTATCTATAGCAAACATTTTATAAATATTTGCTTCTTTCCCTGGAAATGCAATTGTACTTTAATATTTTAGTTAAATGATACACTATTGTAGTATATTTCTGAAATGTTCGGATAAAATGGTACATTACCAAAATCTTCGGGAAATCTGGGTATTTTTGGTACTCGGTGCATTTTTTACATATGTTGCTGTTGTACTTGATGACATAGTTGCAGTTGTAGATAACGCTCATTTTAAACCGAATCGACAAACGTATTGTGTATGTGGAAAAATCTTCCGCCTGATTTGTTTCAGCGGTAATAAATTGGCAGTGCCAGATGGTAGGAAGTTAAAATCTTCTTCAGTCTGATTCTAAGTAAATTTCATAAGAACTGACCATTCTCATAAACCTATTTGTTGCTATCGACAATTGCTACCACTGGGACTGTTTCCGAATTAGCCCTAGCAGAAAATGAAAATATTGGCGAACGCTTGACTTTTGACTTCCTTTTTC